ACGAGGGTCCTTTAACGACCTCAACTGCGGCGGATCATTTAAAATTGTGGGCGTGCGACAATGAAGATTCGAATGAATCGGACGCGGATGAATTTGATAATGTCTCGGGGTCCGATACCTGAGGTCAGGTAACTTTGTCAGGACGGCCGAGTGTGGGGTGAGTGCGTGTACGTGTGCGTGTGTGCGTGCGGGCGACCAGGTCATGCTACGACAGACCGGCGCCGATATGTTTGGGAATCCGTTAACGGTTCAGTGTTGCACACGTCGTGGTTTGCACACGGCGTGGTTTGCACACGGCGTGCAATCGCCCTTTTCGGTTAGGGCGATCGTCGATTGTTAAATCGAACCGTTCTTAAGACGAGCACCGTGCCGTGCGTTCATCAGATCGTCGCGAGTTCACGTCTGAGAGTCTTGGCGAGTTGCGTGCGAGAAGTCGCGTTGTTAAAATATAATAGATACACATATATATATATACCAGCGTGTTACATTTTATTTAACCTCCCCGTTTCCCGAGAATCCTACACCTATAACTAAAGAAAAATATATTTCTTTCACAGACATCGATATGGTCATGTTTATCGAACGCGGTATACGCGGGGGCTTAAGTCAATGTTCCGGAAGATACGCACATGCCAATAACAAGTACATGTCATCTTACGACGCATCGGAAGAGTCATCGTACTTGATGTACTTTGACGTGAACAATTTGTATGGATGGGCAATGTGTCAGCCTCTACCATACGCTAAATTTCAATGGGTCGAAGATGTTGTAAATTTTGACGTATCTTCAATCGGTGTCGATTCGCCCACGGGATACATTCTCGAGGTAGATCTGGAATATCCGCAACGTCTGCACGATGCTCATGCAGATCTGCCGTTCTGTCCGACGCGTGCCAAACCACCTGGCAGCAGGCAGGACAAGTTACTCGCGACGGTATACGATAAGCAGCGTTACATAATCCATTATCGCAACCTGCAGCAGTGCACGCGTCACGGTCTTCGTATTACAAAGATACACCGCGTGCTTCAATTCGCTCAATCTCCCTGGCTCCGCGATTACATCGAACTCAACACACGATTTAGAACAAGCGCGACAAACGACTTTGAAAAGAATTTGTACAAATTGATGAACAACGCAGTATTCGGTAAAACTATGGAAAATGTACGAAACCATGTGGATGTAAAACTTGTGACACATTGGGAAGGGCGATATGGCGCGGAGGCAATGATCGCGAAACCGAATTTCCACAGCAGAAGTGTTTTTTCGGAAAATTTAGTAGCTGTTGAATTGCGAAAACTCGAGGTGAAATTCAACAAACCGATATACGTGGGTATGTGCATTCTGGACATATCAAAACTTTGTTTGTATGAATTTCACCACGAGTACATGTCTCCTAAACACGGGCAAAATTGTAAAATTCTATACACCGACACTGACAGTCTTATTTATCACATTCGGTGCGACGATATCTACGAGTCTATGAAGCACAATATCGATAGATTCGACACAAGCGATTATCCTACCGACAATCCATATAATATGCCACGCGTAAATAAGAAGGTTCCGGGGCTGATGAAGGATGAAAATAACGGTGCGATAATGACTGAATTCATAGGTCTTAGAGCGAAAATGTATGCACTTCGCGTAGACGGCAAAAAAGATACGAAGAAGGCGAAAGGCGTCAAGACCAACGTCATAGCCAGAACGATAACTTTCGTCGACTACGCGCAGTGTTTGCGCAAAGAGATCGAAATGGTTCGCAGACAATCATGCATACGGTCTAAATTGCACAAAGTGTACACCATTTCGGAATCCAAAATCGCTCTAAGTCCGTATGACGACAAGCGATATATCGTACCCGATTCGACCGACACTCTGCCCTGGGGACATTATAATATACCGTTGTAAAATAGAAATTATTATTATTGTATTTATTATAAATAGTGGAATTTATTGTATAATATAAAATTGTTTACAAATTGTCCGCAAATGTATAGAAATTAGTATTTATTAACTCATTCATATAAATAGTGGGATTAATGTGTAAAATAAAAGTCGCCACTCATGTATATGTATATGCATCATTGTATTTTATTGAACCATGTATTATTTTACAATACATTATTTTTATTTATCCAAGAATTGTGTGATTTATCAAAGCCCAACCACTTGACATACACCTTATCCCCCTTTCTACGCAACACTTTTTCCACTAGATGCACATCAGGATCTGTGACGCGTTGCAGCTCATGTTCGTAGAATCCTCCGGCAACAGGTTTTCCAAAGGAATCGAGGAGCAGATACGTCGCGGGATTAGTTGCCTGTACTTTGGCTATTTTAAACACCTCCGTTGTCCAATTCGGTGTATAGCCTTTATCGAAGATGGTTTTAAATTTGCTCACGCGCACAAACTCGCCCAATTTGAATCTCGCTGGAGCAGCGATCTTTATGTTGCTGTATACTGTAGCTAGCAGCTTATCGGCGATCGCAGGGGTAACATCGCAAGGACGCATTCCGATGGTTCTATGTTTTCGTGCGTTATACTCTGCAAGTAGACGCGGTAGTGCATCAGCCCATTTATAGGTTCCATTGAGCGTAAACAGTTTCCACATATTGTTCTTCAAAGTTCGATTGAAACGTTCTACGACGGAGGCCTTCATCACCGAATACGTCGAATAATGATTAATGCCATGCTTTGTCATGAGTTTCTGCACATCAACGTTGTAAAATTCTTTTCCTTGATCGGTTTGCAAATTTTTCGGATGTCGATCTCTAAATATCTTTGCAAACGCTTTAGTCACCTCAGCACCACCTTTAGTCTTGAGCGGTACCGCCCATGCATACTTGCTCAGCACATCGATGACCGTGAGTATATAGTGATGACCTCGGTTGAATCGCGAGTATGGACGCATTTCTACAACGTCAGCTTGCCACAGATCATCGTATCCATGCACTATGACGTGTCTCCGCGGGAAATGTCTTCGAGCTGGAGCATGCAATTCCTCAACAAGTTGTCGCTTCTTGAGACTATGGCTTTCATTACTCTCGGATTTCGATATTGGTTGCATGTTTGATCGCAGAGATGTCTTTGACACGAATGATGCGATAATTATCGTGTACATATATTATGTGCTCCCCATCGGCTCGAGGAAATTCTGGTCAAGTTCAACCGTCTCGCATGATTTTCCTTCGCATTGTCGCTGCGGATTCAATGCGCGTGATATCTCTTGAACGCTGTTTTGCAACGTCAACATATCTCTCTGAAACATGACCAGCTTCCTCTCCAATTCTTCATGCTGCTCTCTCAAAAGTTTAATGCTCTTTTCCACATATAGTTTATTAACGGCATCGCTGTCAACTGTCGGCTGAGCTACGCGTCGTATCTTGCGTGATTTTGCATCAAAGTCGGCACCTGCCACGCAAAGAGCATTGTCTCGCATATAATTTCGAAGCAAACCGCTCCATTTGTAATAGTCCATTCCAGCTGCTCCGCTCTTCTCGAGCGATACTCCAAATTTATTGATCGGCATCTCAACGCATACAGTGCACATCATCGGTGCGCGGTTTAATTTATAATGAGGCCTACCTCGCGGAGTTCCTCGATAATCGATAGAATTTCATGGCCATGCGAGTTGTTACCCGCCTGACGCGACGCTTCCAACAAACGGAGTCGATCCACCAGCTCGTTGGGATCGTCCCAGTGCACGTAATCGATCTTGTTATCATTTACCGTCATGACATACGGAACCGGCAGGCCTTTCCCTGCCTTACTGATAGATACACGGGGTAGTAGCGGCGCAATTACATGTTCATACTTGTATCCCTTGTTACCCATTATAGGATTTTGTGCGTTATGGCCACGTCTGTGAGCATTTGTTGTCAGTAGTATACTTTTGTATTTTTGCCTATCAGCATCTGTGTATATGGCGTCGTCGGGAATTCTCTTGAAAATAAGTTCATAAAGACCGGGAGTTCCTCCATATTTTACACCATCTATGATTATATTATCATCCTTGTCCATATCGAAAGCCTTGTCCCCAAGCATCGTTCCACTATTGTCAAAGTATACTCCATACACATGATCCATGATCGTATCCCTATCACCACTTAGGATGGCACGCATGTATTTTTGCCCCAACGGACCGAAATGATTGCGAAATGTTTGTTGCCCCTCGGATGTTTGGAGTTCATGCCTAATAGATGTTGCAAATGACTCATCGGCAGAAGTTTCGTAAACGTCTTCAGCATTGGTTGCGATCGACTGTACATCGGGAAATGTATTTATTGGTGCAGGCGGAACCGGGGAATCGTTTGACATGACATTCGGTTGTTTCCGCTTCGATTGAACTGGTGTGGAGGTTACGAGCGAATTTTCCGATGACGTGTATAATCGTTTTCTATGTCTCTTATGCGATGTGTTCCCTTTCGGTTGGATTTTTGGTTTATGTGTTAATGTTTCATTCCCTTCAACGTTCGTGCTCGTCAGCGATGGCATGTCAGCTTTTGTCGCTGTTGTATTTTCCACAATATGTTTTAAGGGATCGACAACAGGTTTAAAGTATCTCTCCAACGCGATATCTTCCTCCATCTTGCCAGTCTTCAAAGCCTGATGTTTCGTGTACATACGATACATGAATTTTCTCCGAGAGTTCCGCCTGGATATAAGATATCGGAAACGCCCGCACAGATCATTTACCTTCCAATCACCGCACGGATCATTACGGATCTAACGATACGCGTTGTGGATCAAAACGGACGATTGCTGGATTTTCGAGGTGAAGAGATTACCATCAGGCTGCACGTGCGACGACGACGACGATAATACCTGTGGTGCGAACAAATGAGATGCTTGTGTTGAACGACTCCAGAAACACGTTTCTTCCAAACGAAATTGTCGACAACAGTAACAGCTCTGATTACGTTAAAACGAAGAGGCTCAGTGCTGCAAACATTGCATTTTTGAAATCCTTGGGATTCAGTGTGCGCACTTAAGTTGAAAATGGTTGACATTCTAAGCATTGGAGGGAAGCCGACGTTTGGTGATCGCATTGTTAAGCTCGAGACTCACACATACAACCCATACGTTAACACAACGTTTGGACACAGTGATGAGATAAGAATACCTATACAACAGCAAGATTTATACACATTGCCGTGTGAAAGTTTCCTCTACGTGGAGGGGAAATTGACGATACATAAGCCAAATGATGCTTCAACGGTGATGTTGGGAAATAATTGCATGGCGTTCATATTTGATGAGATTCGATATGAGCTGAATGGTGTGGAGATTGATCGCAACAGAAACGTTGGAATAACTAGCACGCTTAAAAATTATGTATCACTGACATCCGATAAAGACAAAAATATGGAGAATGCTGGATGGGGCTTGAAACGACGCGATGAGTTGGTAGTGAAAAATCATTTCAATTTTTGCGTCCCGCTCAAATATTTGCTGGGATTTTGCGAGGACTACAAACGCATGGTTATTAATGCGCGTCACGAATTGATTTTAATACGATCGCGCAACGATAACAATTCTCTAATTGGGTCTCCAACGTTGGAACCAGAAATTGAATTACTTAAAATGCAATGGCGGATGCCTCATGTAACGCTAAACGATGTTAATAAGCTATCGCTGCTACATGCTTTGGAAAGTGGGCAAAACCTGAGCATTAGTTTTGCTCGTGGGATGTGTACGAGTATCCTCTGTTACAGAGCACCACCAAGCATTTGTGGGCCGTCAAGGCAGCCGCACAGCTGGAGAAGCCGCGATATGTTCTCTTTGCTCTACAGACTGCTCGAAAGAATGTCATGACCGAAGATGCTACTCGGTTTGGCCACTGCAAATTGACCAATGTAAAACTTTTTCTCAACTCGGAATTTTATCCATACGATGACATGAACTTGGACTTTGACAAGAATAGGTACGCCATCTTGTTTAGCATGTATACGCATTTCCGTAAATCGTATTACGGACATAGTTGCAACGAGGCATTATTCACCGTTGCACAATTTTTACAATTTGGTCCGCTCGTGGTGATTGACTGCTCGCGACAAAATGAGTCGATCAAGAATAGCACCGTGGACGTGCGCATAGAATTTGATTGTAAAGAGAATGTGCCAGCAAATACTACGGCCTACTGTCTCATTTTGCATGATCGGGTGGTTGAATACAATCCGCTGACAAACGTGGTGCGCAAAATCAATTAAATCCCAACGCTACTTACTTGCCCTCTCGTGTGCCAAATTCGTACAAATTTTCATCATGAAAATCGAGATGCTTTACAAGAAAGACCGCATTCTCCCGCCTGTCTTGGAACTGAGCGAATCTCTAAATTGTTCCGATAATGACCGTACCAACATTTGTTGACCTGCAAGGGTTCAGTGTTGATGGAAGATTTGTTGTGAAGGAAGTGGCTGTCCTACGAAAAGGAACAATTCTCTCGCATTATATATTTGGGAGTTCGGCGAAAGGCACGCAGCAGATAACGTACTCGCTGACAAAGCGCGAAAACGCATCGTTGCGCGAGACTCGACTCTGGATGAAAGAGGAGCTGCAATTTTTCGAGTAAATTTTTCGCATTTAGTATACAGTATGAAACTTTTTATTTCTTGTGTTTCGTAATGATATTAACCATTTTCTATAACGCGTTTGCAAGAGTTTGACCAAACCTAACCACAGTGAACTATAAAAATCTGAATTTATACGAGTACTAGAATAATAAATAGAAAGAATAGATTTACGAGCCGAATGATGTGTTGTTTTTTTTTTCGCTAGCTGTAAATATTTTCTTAGGAGAACATTATGTAATTCTTTTTTAGATCTCATCAAACGTACCGAGAACGCCGAAAAGACAATAAAAAATGCCTGTGGGTGTAGAAAAAAAATTTTCGGGGGTCATCCCCTCCCTCGGTTCGGTATGAAAAGTTTTCGGGGATCATTCCCCCCCTCTTAAAAAATTTCCGACGGCGGGCCAGGTCTGGTGAGGTCTCCGCAGCGGCTCGGCCTGGACTAATCCCCTCCACGATTGCGACATCCCCCACTCCGCGGCTCGTGTGCGCGCATCCAATCTTCCACTCCCCACAGGCCCCGCGCCCAGAGTTCTCCGCGCCGCACTCCCCCGCGCGCCCTCACTTCCCCTCGCCCCTCGCCCCCCTCATTGCCCCCTGGGTTAGAATCCCCATAGCTATACTACTTGACACAAATATAATGTTACGTCCCGACGAACGGGTCATTAGCCGCGACTATTTGACACTTCCTTAGAGTCAGCATTGTCATCGAATTCCTCTCTCTTTCACAAGAGGCCTGCACGCGGAGGTCCGTAAAGCGGGTCAATATGGTCATCAAATTCTTATCTCTTTCTCAATAACCTTGCACATGGAAGTTCAGCAAGCAAATTCAGCACTACAGCATGGGTTAAAAACCCATGAATTAGGCTAGTGCGGAGCAGTCAGTTGTTAAGTCGCGAGGTGCGTGCTGTCTGTCCCGGATAGTTCGTAAGAGCAGAGTTCGTTGGTCAATCCGCGAAGGACTTGAACTACCCGTTAACCAAATCCTTTTCGAATATTATTATTATTATTATTATTGTTACCATTATATTTCTCCCTAGTAGTATAAGTGTCTAGTGGAACTCCTCTGAATTCAAGCTACGACCATTATGTAAAGTGAAAAGAGAAAGAGAAAGAGAAAGAGAGAGAGAATACAGCGCTGGTTTGGTGAGCAGGAAATTTATAATCCATTTGTACCAAATTTCGGATCTTCTATTTCGCGAAATACATATATGTCAATGTCCATCACATTTCGTTTCTTTCTTTAATATATACATTTTCCCAGACTTATATTCAACGAGCGAAGAGTTTGTATAAGCTCAGATCAACTCCGATCCCATATACTTTTCCTTTGAGAACTCGAAGGTGTTTAAGTTTTACGCCGGGGTACGAGCAATCGCTCACGACCACCTACCATCATCCTCCCCTACCCCGCACGTAACAATAAAAAAACCGGGTAGACCAAAATCTTCTGGAATTCTACGACTAACGGAACGTCATTTTCCCAGTTTTGTTCCACCAACACCAAAGAAGGAAGCTCCCACAAGATATTGCGCTGTGTGTTGTGCTAAAAGGGATAGCAAAGGAAAAAGGAAAAGAAAAGAGAGTCGTTACATGTGTAATACTTGCAATGTTGGGCTATGTGCTGCACCTTGCTTCGAAATATACCATACAAAAGAAAATTTTTAATAATTTTATAAAATAAATACTTAATATTATTATTATTTATGTTGTAAAAGTATAAATAAATATTTTTACTCATAAAAATATGTTTTTTCCGAAATAGCAATTCGAAAAGAAAGATAAAAAAGTCGATGTACGTGTAACATTGCAATATTCGACTCCTTTCTGCAATGTAGATCAAAATCCCAAATTATAATAAAAATGTTGATTATTTTTGTATTTTTAAAATTTTTTTACCAAGACAATGTCCTAAATTGTGTTTTTTTACAAAAAAAGAAAAAAATTGATTTTTTTTGCCGGTTTTTTTCAAAAAAACTGTGAGTTAAGGGGTTAAGGATTGGTTTTATAATTGTTTTATCCCGGCAGTGGAAATCTATACGATGGAAAAAAATTTGTATTTCAAAGTTTTATTGGTTCTTGATAACGCTGGTTGCCACAACATAGAACTGGATCATCCAAATGTGAAAATTGTCTTCCTTCCTCCTAACTGCACGTCATTAATACAACCTTTGGACCAAGGAATCATTCAAACTTTAAAAATGTACTACACACGCCAACTTTTCCAAACCATTTTCGACAGATTAGAAAATAGTGATAATAAAACTCTTACTCAAGTGTGGAAGGAATTTTTTATTTTAGATTGTATTAGAACCGTGTCATCGGCTTGCGCGGAAATTAAACCATCAACGCTTAATGCGTGTTGGAAACCTCTTTTACCTCAAATGGTTCAAGCAATACAAGATGATTCTACAATTTCACTCCCAGTTACAGAAATAGTAAACATTGCTTCTCGTTTAAGCGACGAAGAATTTGCAGTAAACCATCAGGATGTAAGAGAACTAGTACTCGGGGAAGAAACTTTAGATGAGGAAGAATTGATGGAATTAATTGATGCACCTACCTCAAATGCATTGGTAAACGAAAATATGGAAAACGAATGGGTGCCAAATCTCGATTTACAGGATGTGAAAAAAGGGCTAAATTTGGCTAAAGAATTAGAACTTCATTTCATTCAAACTGATCGTTCAACAGTGCGCAGCACAAAGTTTAAAAGAGAGTTAAGAAATTGCTTAGCTACCTATAGAGAGGTTTTAGTGGAGTTAAAATGAAAAAGCTACAATCGAAAACCAATGTGAAGATAAACCAAGTGAGGAAGACATTTTGCCCATTAAAAGAAGACGAGTTAGGCGACTCATATTTGACAGCGAGGATGAGTGTTAAAAGATTACATAATTTTACAAAAGTCTTTCTTGTTTTTGTTGGAAAACAGTTTTTTAGTTTAGTTTTTGTTTCATTTTTTTTATCATTTCCCTATATGAACTCTTCAATTCAATAAAAATAATTTATAATTTATCTTGTCTTTTGTATTTATTGCTCTCCATATAACGCGGTACGAATAATGTGATTTGTACTTGTTTAAATATGTTGAAAACTATTTAAATTCGCGTTCGTCCGTGAAATATTATTTCTCGGCCGCGAGTCCCGTATCCGTTTGTGTACGTGACATTCCGGAAGGTTAAGCTATCGCCGAGTTCGTTCGGCGTACAGACAGTTTAAAACCGCGGCCGTTTACGTGTTTTGTACGCTGACCTCACGCGAAGATTCGCTTCAAACGCCATTTAAACGGCATAGTGACGTCAGCATCGAGAGAGAGAACCGTATCGTTAATTGAAAAGAGATCGACAATCAGATTCAACAGCGTCACGTCGCGACGACGAGGCGCGACCGAGTCTTCGTCTGTCGATGCTCGTCGATTTTGGACATTATTCACGAGCCGACTGCCAACGAGAGCGGATCCCAGACGATCTCGCTCCTCAAGTACGCGCTCCGCCGAGCAAGCTAAAAGCTTCTCGGCAAGAAATAATTAATTTTGGACTCTGTGAAGAATTCTCATCGTTGCTGCGATTTGAGATTTCAAAAAAAAGAACAATCACTTTAGCGAAGGAAGTGGTCTAGTGCACGCAGCGCGTGACGTGACCGCGGACGCGAGAAGTTGATTGTACGTTGCAGTCGTTGCCGCGACCGCGACGTAAGGGACTCAGGGTGCACGCACCTAGAATCCCTTTAAAGCTATACGGCTTTGGAGCCTCCCAAAGGTCCTACCGATAGTTCGGTACCGCCTCATGGAGAGCTTTCCGTGCAAAGGTCACTGCGAACCCTATCCGAAAACCCCGTTGGTGTACGAGTCGACCGTACACCCACCGGCGGAGTTCGGGTTCAAAGCGCCTCCCACTCTTCACGCCGCCTACCACATACGGTCCCCGTACAAACGGTCGCTGTGTAGTAGTTATAAAGCGTTGTAGGAAATTCCCTGGCACGACGTACCTACGTCGATCTGCGCGGTGAGCGTGCTCACGGGATCCACACACTTGGAGCTTTACGACCTCCATTTGGTGACCCGTCCGTGGCGACACAGAGCCTCCGACAGTTACGAGTCAATTCACCGCTGTTCAGGACGAAAGTCTCGTCGATCGTTTTAATTAATAACGATTCGCGAGCAACAATAAAATACAGTCCACTTGCTTACGCTTAACGACAGCTGATCCTCTCCAAGCGCGACGATAGTCGCGAGAAGAGCGAGGCGAACAGCTGACGAACGTGTTTACAATACGTGCAATCACGTATTTAATTCTGGTCGATCCTTTGTTACAGGAATCAAGGGCCAGTACCGCAGCCAGGGCAACGCCAATAGGGCAACTAACCTAGATATTTATTTTCAATTTTTTATTTTTGTATTTTTCTATTTTTTTTAACTTTTATAAAAGAAAAGGCTTGTCGCTGCGCGACAAGCGAAAAATACAAATAAACTGTGTCAACTTAACTTTCCCTGAACTTTCCCTCATCCGGACCCCGGTTAGAACCCTTAGATTCTAACAGTACTAATTCTGAGTTTCTTATAGCGCGGTTTCCATACAACGCGGTAGATGGTTTCCATACAACGCGCTACGAATTAGCCTGGTTTGTACGGTTAAATCCGA